AGCGCCCGCGGGGGGCCACCAGAAGAAGAAGGACCACGGGGGGGGGGGGGGGGCAAGAGGCGAAACCGAAAAGAAAGGGTATCGTAGGGTCACGAGCACCACACAATAAGGCCGGTTTGGCAGAAAGAAAGAACCGCATGGCCGGGTCAAATTCAAAACCACGGGCCATCGCGACAAGAGCATGGAAAGGCGCTTCTACTGTACAGCCCCTCGGGCAAACCAACTCCGCCGTAACGATGATAGGCAAGACGCGCGCTTGTGAGGTCTCAACCCAATCCGAACACCACCTTGTCGTTTCTCGCCCTACCGATGGACGGACACGCCACACCTTCAAAGAGCAGAGAGACGGAGAGCAGAGGCGAGCCCGTCCTTCTATACTAAAATTACACGAAGCTCGAAGCTTCGCCATGCAGGGGCTGGGTGGCACAGACCAAGCGTAACAAAAATTTCCTCACATGGCTTTTGCTGGAGATGCTCAGAGACAGAGGTAGATGTGCAAAGGTGCTGCCGTCTACATCTCCTCCAAAGGCAATACCCTCGTACGGTCGCTGCACTGACGCAGTCGTGTTTTTTCGTCCCGCAACCGTCTACCAATTCATTCGCCAGGTAGTCATAGCTAGGTCGATTTTGATGACAAGAAACACACCGAGACTCACCACAAAACGCACACAAAACAAACACGTGGTGGCAAAACAACCTACACATGAAAAAAAAAAAACTTCAACAAACCCACAAAAAACTAAATTTATGGTACAAAAACGCACATTTTTCCGATTCATCAGGTACTGTAGCTCGCCGGCGTGTGGCGGCGGGCGCGCTTGACTTAGCCGCTCGCAGGAGAGTACGGGAAAACACGACCATGCGGCCTGCGCGCGGGGGGGTCGTCGGCTAAATAGCAGCAGGGCCTCATGATCCTGACGTTGCGGGGCACAAACGGTGGGTGGGCTTGCGTGCACCCCAACCCTTGACCCACCCGTTTTTTTGCAACATGGCGCGCACAAGAGCGGAGGCGGGGCTGCGTAAGAATCTACAAGTCCGTGGGAGCGTTGCTGCTGCCCCTATCCCGCCAGCCACCGTCAGAATCGTCGTCGAAATCGTCGTTGCTGCTGCCGCCGCTCCCGTCTCCCCAGTCAAACATGGACCACCTCTCTCCGCCGTCCTCTCCGTATCCGCCATCGTCATCGCCCGCTCTGCCGTTTCCGCCGATCCTTGCGACGCTAGTGCCGGATTTGTCTCGGAGGCGGCACGATCGCCCCGGGTGGACGTCGCCGAACTGCCGGGGAAAAACAAATAAATAAACAAACAAACAAACAAAGAGGAGGAAAAGAAAACGTGGCAGTTAGTGAGTACGTCGAAGTAATATCCAAACATATGTTCGTCTTTAGCTTGTGTCGGAAAAGGCTGAGGGGCAGGGCGACCTGAAAACGACCAGGGACACCCATGCAGACAAACACCGGGGAAGGAAAAAGGGAACCTCCGGAAGCAGCAAACGCGTGCGTGGGCGTATTCATCGCCCAAGACGTCGTCAAGGCAATCACGCCGACGAGAGAGAGAGAGAGGGCGCACGCGGAGTCGGGGCGAAGGCCTTGGTGCAGACGGCTCCTGATGCACAAGAAAAAAAAGGAAAACGCCCATGCGTTCATTTAGCACGGCACACACCAATAGAGAAACCCGTTACAAGCTGGGCCAGCCAAGAGGCTCGCTTTCGACCTTTCGCGTCTCATGCTGTACACCCTTCTTGGGAACGGAGTACACAGTTTGCCTTGTATACACACACGATTCTTTTATTTTCCGCCCGACGCACCTTGTAGTGGAAGGCACAGTGCCTCCTCGGGGTGCAGACGAGCTTCTTCTCCTCGAGGGAGTGCGCCAGGGAGAAGCGGCAGTCCTTGTCGGTCTGAGGCACAACGTGCTCGGCGGTGAAGCGCCAGGTGCTCCTGCCCACCTTGCCCACGAAAGCGGCAAGCCTGCCGATCGGTCGGTCGGTTGGTTGGAGGGGGGGGGGGTGTACTCATAGTCGTGCATGCCGTAGTCGTTTGACCATTGACCTCGCATCCCTACAAAGCCGGGACGGAGCACGCCGGGTTCTCACCGGACCAGGCTCTCACATCACCAAGCGCGAAGCGCCGTGAGGTATTTGGCGAGTCGCATGAAGGGTGAGCTGCATCCTGCTAAGGGTGTTCGGCATCTTGTGCTTACTTCCTTGCGTACGGATGACAGCTACGTATGACTTAATTTATTTTCTGGTGCTTTCACTTCCAGAGACAGTTGTAAGCGCTGTGTAACTGCCTCGAGGAAGCTTGACCATTTTAACACAACGAGGTGCGATCATCCCCCGTTGCGCGGAGTGAGGTTTCTCGACCTCGCACAACATGATCTACTCGACCACCATTATGGTTACCGCCAAAAAAAAAAAAAACGAGGTAAAAAAAAAAAGCGGTAACCTGGTTGCCGAGTTCACGAAGTGAATTGGCTTGTTTTACAACGTCGTTGCCAAGCGACGAAAAGCCAAACCCCGATGGC